AAAAAAAAAAAAAAAAAAAAAATCCCATGGCCGACCTCAAAAAGATGACCTTACCCCCCCCCCCCCCAACGCAGCAAAATGTCAAATTTTCAAAAATTTCGATACCAAAAAAAAAAAAAAGTGTCCGCTAACGATTATTTAACAGTCTACAGCAGGGAAACATACGTACGCAATAGCGGTCGAATCCATGCGATACGTCACAGAACGGGCCGTGCGCAAACACAATGGCGACGTCCTGAAAATTCTCAGAGCCGCGAAAGACGAAGGATTCTAAAGAATAGTTACGTCCTCCTTTATGTCAAATGTATGATGCTTCATATTTTTCAGATAGTGTTTTTAATGGCCCCAAAACTGAAATTAACAAGCAGTTTGAGGTTAATTCCCCTTTAAAGAGATAGGACATTCATCCGTATGGACAGTGTCATCCCAGAAGACCGACATCATACCAGACCGAACGCTTAAAAATATTCACGATACCAACAGAAACTTCAGGAAAGAGAGAATTATGTCGGTCTCTGTGGCTGTCGGTCTCGTGTGCTTTCAGTCTCGTGTGATGTCGTTGTGGTGGGCATTATCTCTCTTTCTCTCGCTCTCTCCCTCGTGTGATGACGGTCTGGTAGACTATCAGGCTCATTAGCTTTCTCTCTTTCTCTAATTCTCCCTTTCTTTCTCTAATTCTCTCTCTCTCTCTCTCTCTCTCTCTATCTCTCTCGAGGGATGTTGGTCTCGTTGGCTGTCAGCCTCGTGTGCTGTCCTTCTCATGAGCTGTCGGTCTCGTTTTATGTTGGTCTATTAGGCTATCGGTCTCATGTGCTGTCGGTCTATTGCGAAGTCGGCCTCGTGTGCAGTCGGTCTCCTGTGCTGTCGGTCTTGTGAATTGTAGCCGTGGTTCATAATGATGTCCTTGTACTCATTTTGAGGTAGGGTTAATTTTCACATTCTATCTACACATTATCTAATGAAGATGTGAACCTGTTTTCGTAATAATAGTAATATAGATTTTATCAATAAAAATGATAATAATAATAAAAATTATTATAATTATTTGAAATGAATACAAATCATAATTCATGAACGCCATAATCTTTTTGATTGTCGTGTACAACCGTTCGGTGTCTCTACTTTCAAGAGAAACATACTAAGAAACATACACACACACATCCCACACAACCTACACACATCAATACACAAGTATTATAATTGGTCGGTTGTGGGCTATTTGACAAAGAAGGTAAGTTTTTCCTGAATTTTACAAATAGGCTTTAAATTAAGATATTCATAGTTTATAACGATATTTAACGACTATTGTTAGAGACTACACTACACTACACCACAATATAAACTAAATAATTCCCTTGTTCATTTGGAACAAGTTTTTTGAGTATCTTCCAATATCATGCGGAATGCACAATGTAAACCCGTTTAAGATGCATATAACTGAATTTGTTTGTCTTTTTTTCTTTTTCAATTCTCGTTTTATTAATTCTTCCATCACAATCTCAAACTTTTACAACATATATCATTAACATAAGTTCATAAAACCATACACGTATTTTTTTTCTTCATTTTTTTCTTATTAAGACATGAATTGTACATGTGCAACATAATATAGACTTTAACCTATTTGTTTCGAATGTACTCTGATATTCGATTAGGAAACTATTATATTTATTTTTCTTTCTGATCCATTTCTATTCTTTTTCTAAGCTGTGAAAGAGAAATATAATTCAAACCAGATTTTCTAAGATCTAAGTCAGTTTTCCTCACCTACTTTGATAAGATGATCTGCTGTAATTTTTATTTCTGTGTCAAGCACTTTTTGTATAAACCAGGATAAATATAATTTGAAGGAATCATTACATTAACATGAAATAAAAGCATGAACAATGTCTTCACTTGGTTCACATGTTTTATCTAACTGAAGTTGTAACTCCCATATCTCCGGTGTAAATTTGTAAAGGCATACATTGTTACCTTGTACAGATTATAGGCCAATTAAAAGAAACCAAAGCTCCCATTTTTCGTTGTATCTATTGCAAGGTAACATTGAATATCTCTACGAATAACACTGCACCCTCAAGCAACATATTATTGTAGTCATTTTGTTTTTCTCCGGTTGTTACATGAATCCCTACCCAATACTTTCCGGATTTTATCCAATGTGAAGACGGGTTTCTGTTACGATACTTCTCTCGCTACTGGGCATATAATTTTCACTTAAAGTCTTTTTGTTCTTTCGTTTCTTAAAGTAAAGACACTAATTTGTACACATGCCTAGGCTAGGGAATCAAAATCCTTCTTTTTCCAATCCGATGCGGTTAGTTTGAGGCGTGCGCAAAAGCAGGGTAATTTAGCGGGAGATATTACATCCGATACAGGGCCCAAAGGGCATTTTGTTGTATTGGATGACAACATGAGATTCAGGGGATGGAATGTAAGACATGCGTGAATGGATTCGACTATCTGGGCGCGTCTATAGGGCAGTAGTGATTACAAGATTACTAGAAACTCTCTTATTATTACTATTATTATCATATTTTTAAAATTATCATTATTGTTGTTGTTGTTGTCTGAATTGTATAGTTTCGATCACTGTACTTGTCTCTCTTATTGTCCCTCCTTTTTCTTCTGGAAAATGGCTATCGATGCCCTTGAGTAGGGATGTCAGAACTAGGGTGTCTGAAGGATACCACACTATTACTGTCGAAACAGGCGATTAGACTCCTACAAAATCATGTATCATACTTCTCCCTATAGTTTTCATTTATTTATTTATTTATTTCTAATCTTTTGTCAGGGTAGCCTATTCACCAGTAAGTAGTGGTCTTCCATGGGGCCATGAATAAACATGAACATATTTACATCAAACGGCATAACGTTATTATAGTCGCGGAGTTAGGGATGTAATTGAGGCGTCCATCGCTATTTTGTGACCAAATTTTCTCTGCCACTCTTGCAATCCCATGTCTTGTTTTCCTTCAATCTCGCTCTCTCTCTCACACGCACGCACACCTAATAATAATAATAATCAGATAATGTATTCCGTTCTGAAAGTGACTTTTGGTCATACAATATTTGTTGTATAATGTGCAATAGTGAATAATGTCAAATTCAGGCAGTAACATGTAATCAATGACATTTTGTCACACCAGCAGTCCCTGTAAGTAGAGTCCGAAATAGGCCGATCAAAGTGGTTCAATATGGAGCAAAACAACGCTCTCTTGTCCTTAAAACCAACCTGGGCCCCGTCTTACAAAGAGTTACGATTGATCCAAATCAATCGCAAGTCCTCCAATCAATCGCAAGTTTGCAGTCTCCTATCTCTTATGTACATAGTTGCAATTGATATCAATCGCAAATAAGTTGCGATTGATATCAACTCTTTGTAAGACGGGGCCCAGGTTTTACAAGGCTCTGTGGTCATAACCACCGTTTTCAAGACTACCCAGGGTTTGTATCCAGCTTATATTTCAGATTCAAATGCAGCCTATAACCATGGAGATATCTTTTACCATCTATAAAGGAATTTGCCAGTATCTTCATTCAACCTTCTTTTGACAAATGAAGAACGACTTGGGAAGAAGTATCTGTTGAGAGCCCCAAAGCGATGTAAACATATCCTACCACAACTGCGATACATTACTGATCAGTGTTTAAAGAATCTCCTTCTCCTTGAAAATTTCTTCTGCGACAGACATTGAGTGATTATCGTGATAGACTGGGTGATCATGCAATATCCTGAATTAAAGAAAATTACCTTGTTATGATAGGACTCACTGTAGGTCTATTGTTTCATTCGGAATGGTGTAAAATGGGAGCATGCCTTTGGTTGCCCGGTAAAAGGTTCCGTAGCGTGCGCGCTGGTAAAAACAGGTGGAACCGAGAAAAACGCCTTTGAAGTTTTAACACCGACTTCAAGTGCTAAAAACGACATTGTTTCTATGTTCCATGTAGCCAAAAACATTTCTTAGAGAAAGATATTTACCTGATTATTATGTTCTCAAAATAATTTGCAAATATATTTTTCATTTTTTCACGGTTTGCCGGGCAATCGAATTTGTCACCTGAAATCTCTGATTTCCTATTTAAGAGATTCCAACGCACCATCCATATTTTAATCATTTACAACGTTAATATGTGTGATAGTGATCAATATCATAATTTGAAAATTAAAGAACTACTGAGGAGAAGTATCTGCTGAGAGCCCTTAAGTGATGTAAAAAAAAATCCATCCTACCTCACCTGCTTCTCCTTGAACTATCGGTCATTATCAGTTACCATTTTTCCCCCAGTGAAGGACTTTGAGTAATGATTGTGACGCACTGGATGATCATGCAGTCCTGAATATAAAAAACTACCGTGTTATATATAGGACTCATTGTAGGCCTATTGTTGTATTTGGAGGTGCAAAAAAGATCCTGCCTTTAATATAATGTCAATTGATGTCTTTGCTGAAGAGAAAAATTATTTAAGAAATTCTAATGTACCATCCATATGCAATCATTCATAACGTTAGTATCTTATATAATGGTCTCTTTCATAGACTTTTTTTGGTACACATTATTACGGCTATTCTTTTAACGATGTGTCTACTGAAGTTAATTTAAACATATTTATTCAGAGTATGATGAATATAACCCATATAAACTGTTCTTGAGATGGTATGAATAGTAAAGAGAGCCCATTTTGTAGCTGATTGACCCAATTTTTACAGAGCCCGTCACAGTTATGGCAAATTGATAACAATCAATGTTAGCTCAAATTGATTTGATGAAATTGCTCACAAGCATCAATGTAAGCTAAGATTGATTCGGCCTTAAATTGATTTTGAAGATCGAAATCAGTTTTAGTTGATGAACAACCCTCCCAGAGCATATCTTTTAGTACTGTTCTTTTTTTTCTCCAAAAATTATGTTTTTTCTGCCAAATTATTTCTTTCAATGATGATGAATTGTTTTCTTACTAATCTTCATTTTTATTTCTCCATTTTCTCATTCAAGGTACATCATCATAATGCACCCCTTAAAGCCTAGGATGACGACTTACACTGCATGTTTCGTTCTTTGTTTCATCTGGGTCTTCTCTCTCGCAATCGTTATTCCAACGGCCCTTTACTCCGGAACCCACGACTACTATTTCAACGGCGGCGGCGAAAATATCCACGTCACACAGTGCAGCGAGCGCTGGCCCAACAGCAAGGCGATGAAAGCCTACACCCTAGTCCTAGTCATCGGCGAGTTCCTTCTGCCGCTTACTATCATGTCGGTGACGTATTTTCTGATAGCTCGCAAGCTCTGGTTCCGTCGTGTTCCAGGTGGACATGCCACTGAGCAACAGGAAATGGCTGCTGAATCCTCCAAACGCCGTACCGTCCGGCTTCTGATCATTGTGGTGGCGCTCTTCGCGTTTTGTTGGGCACCTTATCATATGTTTGCCATCATGCGTGACATCGTCTTCCCCAGCTACCAGGAGTCGCACCTGACCCTGTTCCTGACCGTCTTCTATCTGGTAGAAGCCTTAGCCATGAGTAACAGTATGTTCAACACCCTAATCTATGTGGTCTTCAACGCCAACGTCCGAAAGTATGTCCTGCAAATACCAGATTCGTGTCGACGCCTCAAGCCAAGCGACAAGGCTACCGTGCGCTACTGGCATCCGCTGGCGACGCGCACCAGTTCTCATTGCATGCGCAGTTCGGTAAGGTCAAGTCAACTCCGCACCAACACAACCTCCATTTCCACCCGCCTCACCATAAATCTCAACCGACCGACGTCGTGTTCATCAGGCCCTCAAAGTGGAACCGTGCATGATCTTAAATGCTGATGGTATTCTGGTCTGGTCAGTATGGTTCCGAAGGAATTTGTTCCAGAGGAATTGCTGAACTCCGAACTCGATGACAACATAGTACACTAGCTTCAATCAGTTTCACCCACCCCGTCTCACTCATCTTTGCTAAAACATGGCTACTCATTCGCGAAAGATTATCGATATTATACCAGATGAAGAATACCCAAACGCGACACAAATCGGACGAACACCCAGACGCTTGCCGTTGGGTGAAACAATATTTGTACATTTATAAAAACGAGGACACCGACTACATCAGAATGTGACTCAATCAGTCAACTAATAATCGTTGTACACTAGGTTCACGGTTAGTGTTATATGTTCAAACTTGTATTCACTAACTGAACTTAATTCCCAGGGAGGGAGAACAAAAATAGAATAAGGGAAGTAAATATTGTGACCCAACCGGTATTTCATGAGAAATGTAGACTAAAGACTTTCATGTTCATATGCGCACTGTAGGTTAAATATCGAACCCTTTCAAGGTCCCTTTAGTAGCACCTTTAGGGTGCATATTTTGTACATGATTGAGTGTATGTCTTAAAGGTAAAGGACAGTATTGGAAACGCCCCAATTTCAAAAAATGAAATGGAAGCTCTCATTACCAATAATGTGAAAGAATATGTTTTGACTAATACATGATGATAAACAATTTGCCGGGAAACCGCCTACTAATTCATATATTTGGTAAATTTGTTTCTCTCATGGTCTGTGAGAGATATAGGGTAGTCCCATATACATCTTTCTGTGTATGGTGCTTGTAACTTTACGAAGAATGGGCCAAGTTTCTTATCATTTTGATGATTCCAGAACCTTGCAGATGCTAGATGCTAGATGATCAACCTTTTCTGATCGATTCCACAACGTTTCTTTCACAATGCAATCGCATGACCATAACTGGTCTTTACCTTTAACAGTATAGAGCTGCTTCATTGAACCCTATAACCAACATAATTATGTTTTGTTTTAAATGATGCAATGTGAAAGCTTATTTGCAAAGAAAAGAAAATATGTGGATGCAGAAAGCATAAAGAAACATCCCATTATTTCTACTATCGCACCCACAAATAGGTGCCTCTATTGCGTTATATATTTTGTATTTAACAAAAATGTACCTACATGAACATATCTAAGTTATATGTTAAAGTATTTATTTGTCTTCATTGACTGTTTAATGATCGTAGTGACTCCTTGTACAACGTACTGTCATAATCACTGAACATGTACCTTTTAACAATTAGAACAGTTTATAAGCTATTGTTAGGTTTTTTTATTTATCAAAAGTACTAATGGAACTAGAAGTGCAATTGTGCAGCAGTTAAGTGTTTTACCTCCTCCTACTGTACTTAAAATACGGAGTTAGAATACAGTTTTGTTTGCTCTTGGCTGTTAATATACGTTGAATGTCTCCTGAATCTAGCATTCATTATAGATTCATCTCCAAGTTGTAAAGATACTTTGTCCCTTCTGAAGCCAACATAAAACTATGTAGAACTTTGCAGGAATTATGAATACGTAATGTATGTCCTATCTGTGAAATTTTTGAGCAGCACAAAACGTACAACCATTCGGTACAATGGTCTGAAAATCAGACTATTACTTACTGACTTGGTATTTGACAACTAAAAGTCGTCAGTTTCCCACTTACAAACATTTTCAAGCCCCCCCCCCTTTTAGGGAAGTTCTGAATTAGAATTATCTTTCAAATGCCGTTGGAATTTAACCTTTTCATTTTCGTTGGCCTGCAATTGGGACATAGTACCTTTAAAGTGCAATCCTAAACTTGAAATAATTTTATTTGTATGAAAGCACAAAAGTAAGCGATTCAGAATGGCGAACGTTTGAAATACATCGGACCAATGATTAGAAATTCATGAATGCTTGAAATTTGAGATCACTAATTCTATGCCAATGTCAAACGTCAGTTTGGTCAGGGGATTTTGACGTGGTGGCGGATAGCTCTCCCGTTTGTCATGTACAAAAATATTAATTTCAGTTTTTTCTCCTAAGTGCCTTCTCCTCCGGGGTAATACTCAAATTATATTATGAGTGGCATATTTTCATAGATCCTCTAAACAATAAAAACCCTCCTGAGTAATACATTTTTGAGAAAATTGAAATTTTAAAGATTGTGTTTATTGGAGCAAACGGGAAGGTTGTCCGCCACTACATCACGGAGACATTACTGATTTAGTCAATTTGAAGTGCCCATACCTAAAGTGATTACAACTTTTTAAAATTAATACGTTTCTCAAAGTTCGCCCAATTTCATTCAAACTTCCACCGGTTTACTTCTCTGATTTTTCTCCTTTCCTATAAGGGTAGTTTACCATCAAGGTTGAATTTCCCTTTAACTTCAAGTTCCACTTGTTTGGTCATTGTGCGGTATCAATATAATACGATCATGTTTTTTTGCGTAATGCTTGAGAAAAGGGGGTGAAATGGTCACCAGTCTTAAAATATCGTTCAATGTTTAGTTCTTTCGATTTCCCTGGAGGATGAGTGCTTTCTTGGTATTCATCGACGGGGAAGATAAGAGTAACTGGATACTGTCTTCCCAGGCGACACCAGGAGTGTTCAGGTTCCAGTCCTGTGTCCCCAAGTTCACCTCAGGGCCTCCCAGGGTACCTCGCACTAACTAACACTCAGATTAAAAACTAATTACCGTCTAAGCATATCTCGTTTTTTGTACATCGTTCGTTGAGGAGAAACAAAGTAATCTAACCAGGGATATGCCGTGTTTTTGTTGACACGGTATCCTCCAGGTGCATCTTCAAGCCCTTGGCTGTTGCACCACCGTGTATTTATTGTTCCATTTGTCTCATTTCGCCCTCCTCCCCTGAAGCTGTGTACGAACTCGTCGATCCCCTGAATAAGGTTCTTATGATTCTCCGAACATTGATTGAATTTTGTGTGTTTGTCGTCATCGATCATTCCCCTTGTGTCCCTCTTCTGATTATCACATTACTCCAGTGTCCTCCTCATTCGAAGGATGGCATCACTTTATCAAGCACAAATATGTATTTATGCAGTGTGCAGACCGACAAGTGTCATTAAAGAACTGACAACATTCTCAGCATGGGATGGACACTATGACACTGGAATAGCAGGTTCGTGTATATTATCTATTCAAAGAAATCCCCAAGTCGTTTACAAATATCCCTAAAATAGGTTATACGTATACAAACTTGATGTTTTCACCCAGAGCAACGCAAGCACATTCTGTGTTGATAATGTTTGAAATAACGTGTAATGTTCATCATAAATTATGGTTGTTTATATCCGTCGGATAGATTTTTCTCTCTCGTATATTTGTAGATTTAACATGACTCGTGACAATGATGAATTTTATGTGAATATGGGGAGTAATCTCGAGAGTACAAGAGATCCCGGGTTCGAAACCACGTCGATGCGCTTTAGTGCCCTTTGGTGAAGCATTAATCCTCAATTACCAAGTCCCTCCGAGAGCACTCACAGCTGACGGTTCACTCGTTGATGTAGTTGTTTCCTTAGAATTAATAATTCTTCATCTTCATTTCAATTACGAATGTAAAATTTACGAGTGAACACATCTTCGTCATACTGCATTCTGTCCTTAGACTTACAAATGATAGTACTTGGTTTTATATTTCAGCAAAACACTGTTGAACCCCCCCCTCAAAAAAAAGGGGGGGGGGGGCAAGTCTGCTTCACTTTATAACAAGTAAGTGTGTATCCCGAAGTCCATATAAAAACCCACATCTCAGATCTCAAACTTCGGGGATATTTATCAGTAGACATCTGAAAAAAGGATAAATTAATACATAGATATTTGTTCGGCCATTATTTCAATAACCAATTTTGTACATATACATACATGTAACACATCCAGGAAGGTTTATTGGTTGCCAAGCAGATGATGATTTCGACGGGAATAACAATGTTGGTTCCCTCATTCCTACACCACTTACTTAAATATTGAATATTGGTATATATTGTGCTTGAAAATTTGCGGTAGAATTGATATTGCATTGGCACCAATATTGTCTTTCAGCCGAATGAGCTTTAGCGTAAATTGCGTCGTAATATTGGATGTTTTTATTATATCGGTTGGATTGTACAGTTTTCATTGCACCATCACATTAATGGGTTTTCATTTCTAGAAAACATTTTGACATAACTTTAACACGCCTTATCTCTGTAAAACTGATTTCATTTGAAGTTGATCGACATCTCTCGTTATCTGTTTGTTTAGTGAATAATTAAATCTTAAAATTTTGAAATCACTGTGAGAAATTTGTATAGATTCTTATAACAACAACACTTTGAATATGTAAATGATGCATTATTTTGTGAATAGTCAGCTGTATTGATTTAAATATTTATTTTTCTATCTGGGCGGTGGCAAGACAAATACGGCAGACTACCATCCCGAACAATCCACTTCTAGGGTAACTCCTCGAGACGTATTCTCCCAAGTACAATCCTTTGTATTATTATTCACATTCAATAGCAAACATATCCTCAAAGACAAAAAATGGTATAATATACTACCACTACACTACATGCATTATTACTACTTCCTCTACTACTACTACTACTACTACTACTACTACTACTACTTCTACTACTACTTCTACTTCTTCTTCTACTACTACTCCTCCTACTACTATTAAAGCTGCTGCCTCTACCTCCTACTAATACGACTACTTTCACACAAAAAAAATCACTACCACTCCTCCTCCTACTACTACTGCTGCTGCTCCTGTTGCTACTACTTCAACTACAATTACTTCTAATGCTGCTGCTTATGGTGGTGCTGCCACTACTACTACTACTACTACTACTACTACTGTTACTACTACTACTACTACTACTACTACTACTACTTCTACTACTACTACTACTACTACTACTACTACTTCTTCTTCTTATATTACTACTGCTATCACCCTGAATACTACCACTCCTATTACTAGATCAAATGATATTACTATCACTACTTCTACACTACTACATAAGTTTTACTGTTAGACTTTAGTGCAATACTACGTCCATACATTTGATTATACTTCTGATATAACTACTACTACTACTACTACTACTACCACTACTACTTGTACTTTTACTACTTATATCAATATTATTATTACTCGTATTGATGGTAAGATGTGTACTGTTACTACTACAACAATATCAGCAACACGAACAAAACCAACGACAGCAAAAGCAAACAACTACTGCTACTACGACTATTTTTACTTCAACTACAACTTCTAACTTCAAACTACTAATTACTCCTACTATTTCTTCTTCTCTACAACTACTAACTACTACTTCTACGACTACTGCTACTAGCACTACTAATAATTCTACTAATAATGTTCCCGTCAACGCTAATAGTACCATTGCTACATTTGTTGCTACTACTATTAATACTTCTACTAGCAACTATCATCATATTTCTAATATAACTATAGCTGCTGCCTCTGCTACTGCTACTGATACTGATACTACTACTACTACTACCGCTACTTCTATCACTACTACTACTAATTCCCCTACCATCACTACTACTAGTACTGTTGCTACTACTATTTCTATTTCTAC